CTTTGTAAAAACTTCAATTGAATTTCAATAAAGTTAAAGGCATGGCCTCACCGTTAATATTTAAAAAAAAAAAAATCTAGTTTTGAGAATTTTAATAGAATACTAACATAACTACTTAAGACAAAAAAAAATTTAATTAATTAATTAAAAAAACAAAAAATTAAAAAACAAAACTAAAAAATAAAACAAATAAATATAAAAAAATAAAAAAAGATGTAATGACTTAGTAAAATAGATAAGTTGTTAAACCTTTATATACCAAATTATAAGTTTAAAATTTATTAAAAACAAAATTTGAAAAAATACATCTGCATTATAGTAATAACATTTTGATAATTAGTTAAAATAAAATATTTGTAACTATAGTCATATTAGTATGACTAACAGATCAAAAAACATTTGTATAATTTTAATTACATAAAGAGATGCAAATCAGTATTGGGTGATATAAATTCAAAAGACTTAAATAGAGAAATAATACAGATCTTTAATAATATTATTATAAAGACGAAATCTAGAAAACAAATACCAATATAAAAAAATTAACAGGTAAAAATCTTTAAATAAAGAATATCACTAATCAGATTGTCAGAATTAGACTAAAGAAAAAGAATACCAAGCCAAACTTAGTATATTATAAACAGGTTACAGTTCTACTAAACTATCTGAATTGAGATTTAGATAATAAAACAAGAATATACTATAAGTACTAAAGATATGTTATGAAGTTGGTATTGGGATCTGAATGAACTCTACAAGAACTATTAATGTTTTATAAAAATGAGTAGGAGCTTTACAATTAGGTGACATATTCTAAAATATATAAAAAACTTGGTAATTATTTTTTTATTGTTGAAACTTCTATTATTAAAGTACTCTAGATGTTTAGTCATATGATTTCAGACGCTCTGAATGATAACCCACCAATCAAAATCCAGGATCTGGTGTGACGTGAAATTTTATGAAAACAACAAAAATGCAAAACTTTACTATATGATACGATTTCCTAACTCTAAATATATGGTTTTTTCCTTTTATTTATATGTTGTCTTTAATTGTTTTGATTTTTAGATATCAGACCGGATCCTTCGGAAGACACATGACCCGACGCCTCGTTTTCGCCATGGCTAGGGTACTAGTGTGATGTCGGTTCAAACTCCAAAAAATATCGTGGCAAACGTTTAACCGTTTAAAACTTGCTTCATAGTTCCGAGCAGAATTATGTTGATCGTGGACCGGAATTATTTTAATGCCAGCCAAATGAAACGGTTAAACGATTAGGAAAATTTTAGGCGGTTCCAATCACTAATCGGATGTCGATATAATAAGAGTGTATATTTGTCTAATGAACTTTTTCATTAGACTATGTAAGTGGACCCGTTTAATCATATAGCAACAATTTCTACCCGTAATAGGATCATACACGTGACCAACTTATGATTTACTGGTCTATGACCTAACTCAGTGTTATTTTATCAATTTTATCATATGTGCCTTTGTTACAGTTCAACAACCCAAAATGTAGTAAATATTAATAACCTCTTGCCTTGTACGTATTACTATTGCTATGGAATAAGAGCTGTTTTAAATAATAGTTTTCTACACCAATAAGCAGTGTTAAATATTGGTATTACCAAAATGGCTGCAAGTACCAGTTTAAGTAACACATGGTCTTCACTTAATATAAATTCAGACTCGCAAATTGAAATTTCCGTCTTAAATGGATTCCTCATTTATTCTTTTTAATATTCCTGATTATGTTAGTGAAATAATTTGTCATTTATTAGATGATCATAAAGCACTTTTCTCTTGTGCTTTAGTCAATCGGTCATGGTGTAGATCTGCTATTCCTCTGCTCTGGAGTGATGTCTTTAACAATCATTTATCTCATAATAAGGAAGTAAAAATTATTCATACTTATGTAAAAGGTCTTCCAGAAATTCAAAAGATAAATTTGATAAACAACAATTTAATTCTTCAAGATTTCAAAACAACTTTGTTTGATTATCCAAAATATTTACGGGTTTTGAATTGTCTTTATTTCGACAATGCATTATATTCTTGGTACAATGCTGTCATTAAACCCGGCGTTGATATTACTGAATCTCAAACCACATTTCTTCATTGTAATCTAATAATCAGTCAACATATCTTAAATAATTCTGCCGGTTTATGTGCCTTATATCTAAGTTATCATTATACACCTAATAGAAGTTGTTTTATGCATCTTCCTTTAGATCCATTCGTGAAAGATATTTGGCATACTTTTTCAAAATTATCTGAGTTACATATAAATTTCCCTGTAAATACATTAAATATTTCACTACTTTATGAGAAATTATCTTTACATTCTCATAATCTTCAAAAATTTTTTATCACTTCACCGGGTACTTATACTCCTTATCAATCTGAAACATGTAGACACTTATTCCAGCTGATCAATTCTCAACATAACCTTCAACATCTTACCATTTTTTTTTCTTGGCCTAATTCTCAATCTCCTTTATTTTTCTCGGCACTTTCAAGTCAATCCTATTCTTTAAGATATCTCGAAATGAGCGATTTCTATGACATCCCTCTCTTAATTGCTTCTTGCTTATCATCTTTTAACCTGGATACTTTGAAATTCTTTTATTGTTACAAACTAAACTTACGAATAGATCCAAGTCCTATACCAGTTTTATCTTCGGATTGTCAATTTCGAATTAAAAACTTAATTATCTCTGGGGCTCATTATTCTGTACTTAATCCTTATTTTTCTTTAATCATTAAAACGGCTGGTTCGAATTTGCAAAGGATCTCTTTTAATGGCTGTGATATAGACTTAATAAATACAATTGCTGATTATAGTTCGAACCTTACTTGCCTGTCAACAATTATCAATTTCTCAATATTTAATTGCTTTTTACAAGCACTCTCAAGATTAAAGAAGCTTAAATACTTGGAAATAAAAAAATCAAGGAATGATAGAAAATTTACCAAAGTAATGATTCCAAGAATTGCTAAAGCAATTCCTGCCACTCTAGAAGAATTGGATTTCAACTTAAGAACTGCTCGTAATATTTTTGAAGAACGGGATCTCAAAGCAACTGATCAAGAACATTTAAACGTATTTCTCAAAGAGTGTAACGTTCCTTTATCCAAATTAACTATCCATATGTATGAACTAAATAATGAATCTTTGAATATTATAATAGATTATGCAGTTAGGATTGGTAGTTTGAAAGAGTTACGTTATGATGCTGATGGACGTTTTACAAATAATGCTCTCTTAAAGGCAGAAAAGATTATACCTATAATTACAAATATTACTAAAGACCTATATTGAATATACTTGTTTTTGATGATATTTGTTTGATTTTTTTAATTCGAAAGATTTTTTTCTTTTCTAAAATAGAAATACATATACATACACAAATTTAAATATTTTATTTACTGTAATTGTTTATTATAATGTCAATAAAATACGGGGATCTTATTATGTAACGGTATAAAAATATTGTTTACATATCTCAGCGGGTCCATAACATTCTCCGAAATTTTCTCCGACAATTCAATTCCCTCTTCAACACATGACATTTTCACATTTTCGTTTCCTTTACTATTTCACTTCCCCGACATTTTCGTTTTCATTTTTCCAACATTTCCTAATATAAGCACTGTATTTAAAACAAACTATTAGGGTCATTACTTTTCCTTATTTAATTTCATTCAATTCGCGTTAATTTAGCATTCACATTATATTAAATCGGAGATGATTAATGCTGTAAATAATCAGCGTTAAAACTGATTGAGATCATATAGATATTTCCAGATAACTTTATTATTTAAAACATCCAAGAATTACGCTCAATGGTATTGAAGGTTTTTCAAATAAATCTAGTATACCTTTAAAACAATTAATTCAGTAATCTAATACTAATAATAATTATAAATGCTATAAATTTGTATAGTGCTTACCAGAATTTCAAAAGAATCGATAACATTATTTAGTTCTCCATTGATAGTTAAAGTAATACGCGTTAATGTTTTTGATTGCACTTGATATTCTAGTATACATAAAATCAGGATTTTTTGGGTAAGACAATTGGGCCTATTCTATCTGCATCTAAAATTACTTTGTAATTTCATTTCACTTTCAAGGGTTCAAACATATCGGTGGTCTAATGAGTTATAAATCCGGTCAAAATTATCGATCATTTTGGTCAAATTTTAAATTATTTTACTTCAGATCTGGTCAAATGATCAACAATTTGGCCAGAATTATAACTCATTAGATCAGAAACATTAAGCTCTTTGGAATAAATTCAAGCAAATCTTTATTATAAGTTGTCATAAAATGGTTCTGACATGATGACACAAAGCTGTCAGTGTTGGCATTTCCAAATGACAATGACCAAATGAATTGGTCATTTGGTCATTTACGTTTGAAATGACTGAATGACCTGACATATGCGCGTTTGCCTGGCTTGGATGGTCATTAAATCACGTGAAATCAGCGATTTTAAGAACCTTTGTAGCTCGGGAAAGTCTCCGAACACCTACCATTCACGTGATTTTTGCACCTACCAAATATAAAACCAACCAATCAAGACTAACATAACCCTAACCTTAACATTCGGTAGGTGCAAAATGACGTGACTGGTAGGTGTCTGGAGACTTTCCCCTGTAGCTTAACCATAAGATTTTTTCCGGCACGTGATTCTAGCCAATTAGATTGAAGGAGCAGGTGTAACGTGAAAATCACGTCTTTTTAAAAAATCGCCATTAACTCTAAATTTTACCTATGAAACTGCCTGCTGCGTTCTAATAAAAAAAAATTCCTCGTGAAATTTTAGTATAAGCTATGCCCTTTTTCATCCCTTATTCTAATCTTAAGATGATGTTTCTTTAAAATCTTTCGCTTAATTTAATTGTTTTGATTTTACGTTACACCTGATCCTTCGATATAATTGGCTAAAAATCACATACCAGAAAAAATCTTGTGGGTGAGCTACTATTAATGATTTTAAGGGTAGAGTACATGTAAATAATTTGTCATATGATTTGCACAGTAAATTTAGATTTACATAGCAAGTAAAAATATGATACTAATAAAATTTTTTAAAAATGTATCAAATTTTTATTAAATTTTTAGAATATATAAATTAAAATAGTTTATTTATTATAATAAAATTTTATAATATATATTATTTTAAAAAAATTATACTTGTATATATTGTAAAAGTCTTGATAAAAATTCAAATTCTTGATAGTAACATTTAGATTAGTTGATTATCATATAATTATTATATCTTTGCGAATCCATTATGCAAAAATTAACAAAAAAATCATCTGTCTAAAAATATTTATAACTATATATTTTGCTAAGACAACCTGTTCTGATGTCTTAAATAAACTTGTTCAGCTCAATAATTTATATATACTTTGAAAATATTATAGATCTAACTCTTAAACTCACAAAAAAAACTGTACTAACAGTCTTTGGTTTTCAATTTTAAAAAATCAACTCTTTCATAGTTTTTACTACAATAATTTGTCTTATATTCTTAATTAAAGTTATAATGCACATTTATCTAATCAAAACAAGTTCTAAAAAAAAATTTTTGATCTAATATTAATCGAACTATAGCTAAATTCATCTTTTATTTTGTTATAAAACTTTTTTTTTATCTTTTATCTCTACTCTATTCTCTTTTTTTCTTATACAATTTTTATATAACTATATTATTATTTTCTAATATATATTTTATTAATTTATACTAAAATTCTATAATTTATCTATTAATAAAAATTTATTGAACACAATCAGTTATTTTCATATTTGGTTTTTATTAATTATACACAATAATTTGTATTGTGAACTTTATCTATACTTGTACCTGAGTCATATTTGTGACCCCAATCATCCTAGTTACACATCAGTTTTATTTCTATAATATCTTAATTATACAATTCTTGTCTTTATCTCTTATCATTATAAAATCAATTATCTAACTATTAGAAATCTTTCTAAGTTTCTAATACAATATTTATTTAATTTATAACAAATTTAAAAATACCTATATTAAGCAACCAAGAGTTTGATACAATAGATCTTGATTATTTCTACTAAAACTTCTCTAACAGTTTTAGAATTATTTTTTATATATTGGGAAATTTTATATAAGGATATATAGCAATTGGTAACCTATTAGATATATATCAATACTAATCACTTCTGCTGAGTTATATTGATTTTGGTATAAACTAATATATAACCAGTTTTAAAAAATCAATATATATCTAATAAGGTTATCAATCGATATATAACCAGTTTAATCAAGTATTTTTTTTAAAAGATGATATCATTAATAAGATATTTATAAAACATATTATTTATAAAACCAATTACAATATATAATATAAATTTATTACTGTTACTAAAACTGTATAATCATATTATAATGCAAATAATAAAATTTATTATAATTTATTACATAATAACTGCTAACAAATGTAAACTAATTTAAAAAAAAACATTTGAAGCAAAAATTTAATTATTATAACCAAATAAATCATCAATATCCTCCTATGAAAGTTCTGTTTGATGTTGAGATGATTGCTGAAATAATAAAGAACCTGCTTCAGATTCATACTGGGATGATATTTGTTATAAAAAACTATGATTCTCATTGTTTAGTATCGATTTGGCTGTTTTATATGATGGACCACCATTACCGAAATCATTCTATATTAAAAAATAATTAATTAATTACTATTAATAAAGCATATACAATTAATAATGACACTTACAAAATATCTTTTGATATCATGCATAAAACGTTTTTCTGAACATGTAATACTTCTGAAATTGGAATTAAGTAAAATATCACAGACTGCAAGCATAAAAGTGCAATGCTCATTTGAGAGTGTAGGTACAGCAACCTTGGAAAAGGTTGCTCTCACAATTATTGATACCCAAAAGACACCTTTCTCGTTCATTTTAAAGAGTGCATAATAACAATTCAAAACTTTTTCACTTTGCTTCCAACTTACTATATTGGCTGGTACAGCATTTTTTTTTAATAGTGGTAGTTTTTCACAACTGAACATGTGCTAGACTGCTGCCCTTATATTTTGAACTGATGCATCTCACAGGTTCTTTATTTTTTGCAAAAGCTATTGTAGAAATTAGCAAATAAATTATAATTAAAAGAAATATATTTTAAAAAACAATAGATATCAATACATACAGGGTGAACTATTCATCATGAAACTTATTAGTATATTGATTGGAACTTAAACTATGTATAAACTTAGGATATCTTTCTTCAAGACATTGTTTAAGCACATCCTTCAAATCCCTTTGACTAGGATATATGTTATACAGGAAGAGCTGCTTGGCCACACAGATAAACACATCCTATATATATTTTTAAAAAACAATATATATATTATATACTAGATGCTATATACCCTTAAACATGCTAGATCCTAAATGCTATATACTGCTTAAACATGCTAGATCTAAATTGTTGCTAACCCAAAACACTTACATCTATCACTTGCATAGAAAGATCATTCTCTTGTTCTTTTTGATACCTTTCCAGGCAACCTAGTCTGGCTTTAATTTCATTTGTACTTTTCTTAAGTCTTTTAAGTATTAAATATAAATACTTAAGTTGGGTGAACATTTGCTCATCAACTTGTTGATAATACTGATAGCAGTCATGACAGTCATAGCAGTCAGGACAGTCAGAGCAGTTAGAGTGATCAGAGTGATCAGAGCAATCAGAGTAGTTGTAGTTTGCTTAATGTACACAATAAAAATAAACAAAAAAAAAAATTTTTCAAAAAAAAAAAAAATCAATGCCAAATGTTAAAAAAAAAGCCTTTATATACATACTACTTTGACTATATGCATAATTTTGATTGAATGATTTATTATATGTTGGTGATCTCTCTTGTGATTGTGATCTTGAAGAAGGTTGTTGAGTTGAAGATAGTGATCGATTATAATTGGTATGATGTAATCTAGAATGATATCTAGATTCAGAGTAGGAAGTAGGTTCATTTTGAGAGATAAAGGAAGGCTAACAAGATAAGAAACAGATGATAGATGGTTGGCATGATTGATGTCGAGATACTTGTGAGGAAGATCTGCTCATATTTAAATATATTTGTTGAATACTTCTAATGTTTTAGTGGTTGAATCAGAAGATGAACCATCATCATTAGGGTTAGGTGGTTGATAAAGTTCAGTGATATTGTTAGTATTTAATAGTCAAGAGAGATTTGACCAGGAATGAGTAATAGGTGTAGCAGAGTATAATGGTGGCAGTGTAC